CTTCGTGCTTACTGGCATCAAATTGATATTAGCACCTACCTAGGTTAGGTATGTAATTCGTATATGTACCTGACGTACCTGACGTACCTGACGTACAGGCAAGTACAATTGAATACATGTAGGTAGTTACAACAACACATACGGTGTACATCTATACCACATATGAGGTATGTACCTCTCTAAGTGCCCCTATCCCTTTAAGGTGTTCAATCTTAGATGCATCAAATACATGTATGTATATGTAAGGTGCGATAACAATTCATTCACACTTTGCTTGTTACATAGAAACATGTAAATAAGTAAGGTGGTATGCTTAGATAGACCATGGTCTGCCAAGATGCTCTTTGGCTTGTCTGGGGAAGCGCTGCATCAACGGTAAGAGCCCTGTCGGGCTTTGGGGGGGTGAGAGGACACCTAAAAAGGATGTCGTGCAAGGTTCTCACGTTTTTTATAGTTAGTAATCCAAGTTTGTAGCGTGGTTCGAATCGTATCCTTGGCAGAACTCTTGGCGCTGGTTGGTCCGTGCCTGACTGGTCCATTAGGCCTTGTGGGGCTGTCTAACTGCATTAGGACTTGCAGTTTTAGGTCTAGCGTTGCTTGGCTTTTTCGCTTTTTCGTTCCTTTGTGATAAATGCTCTTCTTGTTCTCTTATGGGACTCTTATGGGAAAATCCACTTACCATACCGGCAGACCGGCTTCTTCTCCATCTACAATCGACTCGGCTTACGTGCGATAAAGAGAAAAACAAAGAATTAAAAAGGGTGTGCTCGAAGAGGGGAAGAAATAAATTCAATAACAAAATCGACAAAATGAAAATGAATTAAAGTTCAGATGATTTTATGAACCCCGCAATTCGGTTGAAAGACCAGAGGGACTACAATTTGAGAATGCGGAAAAGCAGTAGCCAATGAAGTGCCCCTCTTTCCTTTTTTTCTCGGCTTACCACTCTACCGACCGATATCGTCAATTCTTTTTATTATTATATATATTTTTTTTTCAGGTCTGCTGGCTCACCAAGCTTCAAGGCCCGTGTCATTGGGTCATTGGTGTCGACATCGACTTCTTACTAACCTCACTCTTCCATCTTCTTCAACCTTTGCGCCACCGCCGTTTGATACCAATTGATTGGCGCTACAACTTTTTGAATATGAAAAATCCCGACTACTGACATCTCTTCGTCAATATTGTATTATTACGATATTGCGTTTCGGCTTTTTTAATTCTCGCTCTGCTTTCGCTTGATCTGGTCGCTTAGGTAGAACTTTCCGTTCAGTTCACTCAGTTCACCCAGTTCGTCGTCGATCGTCGAGTTGCTGGATGCATCCGTACCAAATCTCCTGTGCAGCTCTCGCCATACTCGACCGTCCTCGCAAAGCCGCGCATCAATAACGCATACGCAATAGCCTACCTATCTTCTTGCCTGCGTATGGTACATTAGTTACATAGGTCGCCGATCCAAAGTAAATACATACATCTACATACATACGCATATATACTATACATATCTTACGCATATACACACATATACATACATACCTACATACCTACATACCTCCTTCAAGCTACCGCTTCATATTTCCCATCCTCATCCCCCCCCTCCCCCCCCCTTTAGGTGTTCTATTCATATCCGAATCGCCGACGACAAAACAAAACTTTGTGCGCCCCAGTACCAAATGCGAACAAGCTCAGAAGTTGCGGCTAGCTGCATCACCGTCGACCATCCCGCATACCACCCCAGCCAGACGCCCCAGTGCCTTATCCGTCGCCGCGTGACTCCATGAGCAAAGACCTGTCCCCCCGCGCAGCCCGGCCCGTTCTAATTCTTGTTCAAACGAAATAACATCCTCCCCCCGCGATCTGTACGAACAGAGCGGATAGACCCGCTCGACGGGGCCCCCAGCAAGCCTTGTCCCCGTTGCACAAGGAACGCCTCTTTGTAACGGGGAACGGGGAACTAGCCCATTGGCGTCCGCCTTGCTTGACTACGCTGAATACGAGCGGCCTGTCGTTGCGCCGTGCTTGTGCAAGCCTTCTTGGGGGGGTACTGGCCCCTAGACACGGCTGTCGCACCGCGGCAGCGTACAGCGCCATAATACCTGAGCTAGTGTCTCACGCAGTATCTCTAGCTCGTCATTACCTCCAGCTTTGATAAACATCTTCTCGGGCGACTTCATTGGCTTGCATACGCCACCGAAGTCGATTGCTACTGGACCACGATCCAAGCCGAGGGTCTGTGCTGAAGTTGAAGTTAAGAGGCGGTGGGAAGATTGTACTAGTGCTTGAAATAGGGAATATTGAAATTCTGAGGGAGCCCCCCTGGCTCTGACTGTGATACTCCTGTGGAGATTCGCAAAATTCAGCTATTTGTTGTTCTGGATCAGTGTGGTTGTGCCAGACTTATCCTGGGACTTGCATTGCCATACCTTTCATCCGGCGTGGGAAGCTGAAAAGGAGCTATTCTATATAACTAAGACAGGATGCCGGAAGACGTTGAGGCAAATGGGACAGAGGTCTCAGATGCCTTGTCCGATAATGAGAACGAGTACGACGACATGGAACAACCTATCAAGGACGAAGATGCTAAGATGACCGACCAAAACACGTCGCCCGAGCCTGGTAGTGCCGACCATTCAGGAGAGGTCAAGAAGAAGTACGATTCTAAAGACCCCCACCGCCCCAGGAGAAAGAAGGCGAGACGTGCGTGTTATGCTTGCCAGAGAGCCCATCTCACATGTGGTAAGTCTCAGCCCTATGCCTATGTCCCCGGGCCTGCATCGCAGTCCAACTGTCTCAACGACCCCACAGTTGAGCTACAGCCCATGTGTCTCAGCGTGAATCGAGTCTAGACACCATGAAGCTAGACTGAGTAGATTTACTAACACTTCGGTAGGAGATGAGCGTCCATGCCAAAGGTGCATAAAACGCGGTCTTGCGGACGCCTGCCAAGACGGAGTCCGGAAGAAAGCCAAATATCTTCACGATGCTCCTCCAGAGGCTTTAAGACCGGTTCTAGGACCAACTTACAACCCAGCGGTCCATACGAAGCCAACAAATGGAAGACATCTATCTAACGGAAATTCCGAAACGTCGCCGTATTATTCGGAAGCTTCCAATTCGTCTACCTACTCTATATTTAATGGCAATACCCAGGGCCAGTTATCATCGCTTCCCGACAATATGTCTTTCGCCAGCCAGCATTCTCCGGTGACGCCTGGGTTTCAGCCGCCGAACACATCGAGAGCAGCACAAATAGGCTCTATGCAAGTTCCTCAAGTATCTAGCGAGATGGGCCATAATTTCTCAACCGCCTTGTTTGATCCCAGCAATCCTGCAATATTCAACTTTGACCTCGAAAGCCTGAATTTTGGGAATCATTACGGTGCGCTGGAATTTGGGATGCTTGGCCATATGTCTTCTGGAGCCGCGGAGACTCCTCCTAGAGATGCTATAGCCCATCCTCCCGGGACAGATGTTAACTACGGATCTACGCCGGTATATCGAAATGGAGTCAATCAATATAATCATAATCATATATATGAGAATGGCATGAATGACGGCTTCATGAACGTTGATCCAAGCAACGGCGGCACATATCCGGGTAATCTGCAGCATGGCTTGCCTCATGCGTATGCAGTGGCGGCTGCTGGACCGACGCCAAATAGTCTAGCGAGTCCAAGCACAGACAATACATCAAGCCCACAACCCACAGGCTATGGATTCGATAAATCGCCAACTGCGAGCACCTATACACCTGCCAGTTCTCAACCAATCACTCAACCTACACGACCAAAACCAAAGCCTTCTAGTTCCACGGGCCGGTTTGGGCCTGGGCCTCAGTCTATTTTAGGCAAACGACAACGCGATCCATCTGCGATCTACGATACTGTCACCGAGCCCTATCCATATCTTACTGGGTTTCATAACTTAATCGCGTTTGTCCAGCGAAGGTTTTCCGCTAATAAGACTCTACGCATCGCCAAGTCTCTTGCTAGTATCCGGCCTTCGTTTATTGCATGCACAAGGAATCTAAATCGACAAGATCTTATTTTCATGGAAAAATGTCTACAGCGGACTTTATTCGAATACGAAGACTTCATGGGTCATTGCTCTGCGCCAACCATTGTCTGCCGAAGAACTGGAGAAGTGGCGGCTGTAAACAAAGAATTCATTGCTCTGACCGGATGGACCAAAAACGTACTGTTAGGAAAAGAACCTAATGTGAATATCAATAATGGTCGGTCAGGATCTGAGTTGAGTAGCCTCGGTAGCACGGGCAAGTCCGAGTACACTACGCCGCGGCTAAGAACAGCCCAGCCAGATTTGGGCAAGGCCTCGGAAGGCAAGATACAACCGGCCTTCATTGCAGAGTTCATGGACGATGATAGTGTGGTTCAATTCTACGAAGATTTCGCCCAGCTGGCCTTTGGCGATAGTCGCGGCCATGTCACGAGAAAATGCCGACTCCTCAAATACCGAACTAAGGAAATGAGCGAGCCTTTAAGCAGTGACGAACCCTCTCACAAGGATCGGCGCAATAGTAGCATTCTGAGCAATAGGGTCACGCGGATCGACGGAGAACACGGGATCTCGAAACTCGAAAAGGATGGTAAGATCGACTGCACGTTCTGCTGGACTATCAAGCGTGATGTTTTTGATATACCAATGTTGATTGTCATGAATGTAAGTTAGCTCATTGTTATATCTACTCGGATTGGTAGACTTGCTAACTCCATTGTAGTTCTTACCGTGTTACTACCGCAATCAGGACCAATTGGCTGTATAGGTATAGGGATAGGCCAGTTGGAGCACACGTATAGAGGCATGCATGGTTCTTGATTTGTTCATTTCTAGTTCACGGGACTACTATATATATAGCATGGGTGGCGTTTTGGATGGAGCTCGCATTTAGGAGCTTTTCTCCCTTCGAAGGGAGCTGGTCATAATGCATCTTATCTCAGAGCTCACCATAGGGTAGATACGGCATAGAGCATGGGTTTCAAAATCGGTTTTACGACCGAGCCACCATGAATTTCATTGACTTCTTCTAAGATACCAAAAATTCAGCACATCTTGTTCTATGTATGCACTGAACGCCCACCCAATAAACCACCCGACCAATACCTGGTCTTGTATAGAAGAACCGCATCGAACATGTCTCACGTGCACCCAGGAATATCCGGGAATTTCCAACGAGAATGCCTCGGAACGGGACAATTCGGGTAATCCGCCCCCTTACCCCCCCTTTTGCCCCTCCTGATCGCATTACCCTGTCACATGCTTATGACATATTGCCTATGTAGGTAAGTAAGAAAATAGGATATATCATATGTATATACGTAGGTTGATAAATAAGTATCCCTACGACTCCCTGACAAGCCAAGAGCCGTCAAACTCGCCTGTGACGCCATCCGCGGTGCCTTCGCGCGGGGTCCAAGCGGGGCGCGCGAGGCTCTGGCGCGCTACCTCGCAGTCCACGTTGATATCGGTGATGAGCGCTTCGAGGGAGGCGTAGTCGCGCTCCTCGCGCACGAAGCCGAGGATCAGCAGGCGCATCGGCGCGTCGTAGAAGTCGGCGCCGAATTCGCGCAGCACGTGCACTTCGGCGGAGCGCACCGAGTTCTTGTAGAAGGGGTTGTAGCCGATGGACATTACCATGGGGTAGATCTGCCAGCGCTTCTGCGACGCGGTCGGGGTGGCTGTGGAGTTGGCGGATGATGTCGTCGTGGGAGGGGGTGGGTGAGAGGCCGGAGGCGCGTCGGCGGCGGCGCGGGGGTTGGAGCGATGGCGGGGTTCGCGGGTTTGGTTTGGAGCGTCGCTGGTGTCTTGTCGGTCGGGATGGGATGACGGTAGAGCCAGCGCGGCGTAGCCGAAGTACACTCCTGACTTTGCGCTGGCGATCCAGGGCGCAGCGACTGAGTCGACGGGGAGGTTGGCTGTTGGGATGCCGAGTTCTTTGGACCCGCGGCCGAAGCCGGATATGACGGTGCCTTCCATGCGCAGCGGATACGGAGGCTCCGGACCCGAATCTGCGTATAGGATCCGCGGGCGATCGTCGGCTGCCATGGCGTCGGTCTCTGGGGTAGGTTTAAAGGATCTTGGCCGTATTGCGATTGATTGGATAATGTTGCGCTGATTGGCGTTTGCAGAAAGCAGTTGTCTTGGACGCGGGATGATGGTGTATTTAAGATTAACGGCGGGGGTTTGTCATTGAGTGTCTATTTCTTGTCTTTGTATAACTATTAAGAAAATCCGATGTTTCCGTATTTATCATATAGGAGCGTTGCGCTTATTCTAGTTGACAATTATAACTCGGATATATATAATAATATGGAGAAGGGGTATTAGGTACCTAGGTACGTACCTAGGTATGTATGAAGCTTGCTCAGAGCGTTGATGGCTCCTCATAGATGTCGATAGAATTGGACGCATAGTGGGGGATTGACATGTAAATCCTAGATTAGATAAACCCTGTATTATCGATAACTAGATATCGTACCTTACGGATTACCTCCCGCTACAATAACAGGAACTTGCAGTTTTATTATATATTACCGCTTTGAATTAAAGTCTCAATATTGATTGGTCGGCTATAAAGTTTAACCTAGTATTAGAAAAGTATAGTTAAAATCGCTTTACGTGTTCGACTTGTTACATATGTATATGTTAGATGGGAACTTTAATAGCTTGACAGGTACTCGCTAGGTTATTAATAACCTTATATTCTAACAGGCTCAACATAATCGCCATGAAGTATGACCGGCATTGACATAATCCAAAGGACCTATTTCAAGAATTAGATATTATAATTATTCAACCGGGATATAATTTCTATAGCTTGTTAAACGTATCTGAACATGGAAGCCTTCTTTAGGCACTGTAGCAGTTTATTTGATTTCTTATTAGACATTTATATATGTCAACCCTTAAGAGATAATAATAGTAAGACTTATGGGGCCTATGCCCATCTCTGCTTGCACATTTAAAGATAATCTTTACATTATTCTTTATTGCGATGGGTAGTTAACACAAGTATATAAAGAAAGAAAGACATGGTTTCTTACTGAGTACCTACGGATAGAATTCAGTATAAATCATTACTTAAATAAGTTAGGTAGGCACCTATATCACAAAGGATTGTTACTCGATAAACTTGAAGTTGTAACCATATACAACGCCGACATTTGTGAACATTCTAATTCTAACATATCTATATCAAAAGGCCAAGTCAAAATATATAGGTAGTTATATAAAAATACCCAGCGTTTCGTCGATGTTTTGATATATATCAAACCCTATTTCATCCGATGAAAAAAAGAAAGAAAAAGCTTGATCGATGCTTACGTAGGTATGAGTTGACTGAAGTTTAAATTACTTCAAATTTTACCACGAGAGAAACGTTATACGATGTTGCTACTAGCTCGCTCATTTACTAAACTCAGATATTGTTATTGCTATAATTACCTATACTAACTACTCCTGCTATAAACCAACGCAGTGTCAAAAGCATATATTAGACTATGGCACATGAGCATAGCACCACCGTCAGAATCTACTCTACGAGTTATAAACATTTAAACATAATGTATAATATCCCCAAGAATAGGAAAGAAGATTAGAATTTCGTTTCTAACTTTTGTTTACCCCAACAAGCCGTTGCCGGATTCTAGAAGACACCTATAAAACAAACGCTCTCTTGGATCGGGCGCTTCTGCTTTCATCTTTTTTTTACATCATCCTACAGAGCTTTTGCACATCTCTAGCTTCTGCCCTTTGGCTACAACAGCTTCAATATTTACCCCAACATCCTTCGACAAAGCATTCTTGATCATCATCGACTTCTTTCCTAGTCTTTTAAAACAAGGCCCTTTATTTCAAAATAACCCTATATACTATAACGACTATGTCTACCACAAGCACATGCGATCTAGACGGGTTCATTCCAGTATCGAATGCCCGTCGACCATGTAACAAAACTACACACATTCGTCAAGATAAGGACAACTGGCAAGATGGCGATATTGCGTTCCTTAGGCCACATTACGAGTTTCCTAAGGCAGTATATAACGCCTTAATCAACACCAATTACTTACATCGAAAGGCGACAAACCACCCAGTAATAAGTAAGTACTAGTCCTCTAAACTCATTCATCCATGTCCTTTTACTAACTATTCTAGTCTTGGAACACTCCATGGATTCAAGGTTCTACTTGGTTACCACTATCTCGGCATACAACTCTGGACCAGAAAATGATTACCTTCCGCCATGGAGACAGCCACACCACCGCAACAAATACCGCTATGACTTCCGTGCATTTAAGGGCTCAGTCAGACCCGATAATAGACGCGACTTCCTTCGACTTGAGGGGAAGGATCCTCTACCAAAGCCGAAAACATCATGGGTCTATACTCGCAGCGCATTTGTGGTTCCATCGTCGATACTTAGAGAGTTCGACAAGTTCCAAGGAGTACCACGAATGACTCAAAAGAGCCTTAACGACCTTCTTGACCATTTCAGGGAGGACGAAAACTTCGAATACCGCTGGACCAATCCTAAGGTTCTTAAAGTCCTTCGATCTAAACCGAACAACCTCTCGATAAATTCTAAGCCAGGAGTTCTAACACCATTCACACCATCCACGATCAATTTAACCAGGATATCAAACTTTGATTCAAAAAATACTTCCAGAACCACTCACGAAGCGCCACTGTGGAGCGTCATTGCAAGCAACCCCCCATATTTGAAAGCTGAAAGAGGAATGGGCGCGTTAGGCTACTGCTACCCTCATCATATCTACTTCAGCTGAATTCCGGTAATATTAGACAGCTTTCCGCCTGTCCAACCATATACGAAAAAATTATACCCATAACTTCGACATTTCCCAGGAGAATAAGTCGACACCCTGAAAGGGACACGAAACATACCATTTGAACTGGTCCCGCCACTAGATCTGCTATACTATATCCAAGCGAAGGATAATCATCTGCCAGACATTCGAAGACGACTAAGCGACGAAAAAGAATCAATGCGAAATTCCCCACAAACATGAACACTAGTTGGCCTACGTCCGATGAAGCGTGAGCAAGTTCACCAAATGGCGCTGATGAGAATCGAACCTAAATCCATTTATATACATACCCCAACAACATCCCAGCATCAGCATCGGATCCCGAGGGTACTAGAGAAACATAAACTCTAATTCAACTACTACGTTACTACCTACGCACTGCCAAGCTGGGTAGCTCGAACTAAACACCCATGTCCACTATTCTATCTCTATCTATAACATGTCATACGCGCAACTACCGGCACGCACTGGCTTTACAGCTTCGGAGCCTTGGAATGCGATACAACCAGCCAACCAACCACCGGTCGTATCCGTGGAATTTAAGATCCGAACTTAGTACGGAGAGGATCTTAACCGAGATCTAATACCCACTGGAACCTAGAAGGAGCAGCAACTCCGACACCACAACTATATTCACGATATAACTTGGTGTTATAAACACTTAGTATGAGGAGGAAATAAGATACGCGGAAAGGCAATATCAGGGCGCTTGGATAAGCCAATGTTAATATTGGGAAACGAGTTTTGGATTCGAGAATATTTTACGGGTTTTGTCCTGAAGGAAGGTTTCCCCGTATTCGGCATAAGTTGCCGGCGAATGCGTATTCGAACAGGGACGGCATTTGGCCGAGATTATCTTGGACATAGGGGATGCACTAAGCAATACTACAGTGCAGTACAAATTATAGTATTAGACAATTTGTAATCTAGTCTATCTGGTCTACTCAACACTAGATCATGCATAACCAGTATAAAAACTGTTGTGACTTCCATCTTCATAACATAACTTTCTATGCTCTCGTTTAGTAGTACTAGGAGGGCAAGTTACTGACGATTGATTTACTTTTCTTCTTATGTAGAATTGTTTAATATTTTATTGGTGCGATCGTACTGCGTTTATGAGTTGGGATTTAAGGAGACGTTGGTATGTAAATGCCCCGCCACGGGGTGGTTCAGCAACCTCAGCCAATGAGATTTAACAAAGCGTCCACCGTGGTTTATTTATATACACCTTCGGAACTAGAAATTATGACACAGGCAAAGTAGAGATATTGGTAGAGATTCTTGGGTAAATGAATGTTGGAACTAACTATAAAATACAAATACGTAAAGTATTGGTGTTCTAGGTCGGGCAGTTATGGGCCCGTACCCTTGATCGAATCCTTCTTTTGGCTGGGATTATTATATGAGTTCTGAGATAAAATTTCAAGTTATGTATTCTTTTATATCAATAACTACTATGAGTTGACTTACACCCGTTGGTTCAATTATACTCATGAATATATATATATATATACCTATCTATCAACTACCTAGTTACTTCTTTACTATGTAAAGTTGCCTTAATTTATCACACGTCTAAGCGATGTGGGGATCTCAAGTTGTCAATATGCGGGCTGGAACCGCGGACCAAACAATCGTTGCTGACGTTGTATCGCATTTGCATCATCTCAGCATTCGAACCAATGACACCCATCATCCGTGTGGCGGAGTGAACGTCCAGGCTCCCATTATGATTCCCGAGCCCTTCTTGACAGGATTGTAGGATTCGAGCCTCGGCTGTAGGGTAATATATAAAGGTCATATTGCTTAAGCGTTTTCCTATAGTTATGGCTTATGTTCTCAGAGCTCATTGCCAACTACTTAGCTCTCTCTGAACACGACACCGGACGACATGCGCTTTGCCCACCTCATCGCGTCGGCAGCTGTGGCTGCCGCCGCGAACGTAGTAGACTTGTCCGACGTAGATTGGACGCTTACGAACGATGAAAGGCATATCTCGGTTCCTGGTAAAGTCCCTTCGCAAACTCACCTGGACCTTTTTGCCGCGAAAATCATAGATGACCCATATCATGGGCTGAACGACTTCGACCTACGATGGGTCGCCATGGCCGACTGGAACTACACTGCTCAAGTCGCTGGATTATCGAAAGACGAAGGCCTAACCACTTTCTTATTGTTTAACGGTCTCGATACATTTGCAAACATTAGCCTGTGCTCTAAATCTGTTGCGAACACAAACAACCAGTTCCGCCAATACTTCTTCGACGTCACCGATGTTTTGTCGGCGTGCAGTTCCGATTCTCCTGAGCTTCTTATTGAATTTGGTAGTGCCCCTAGAATCGCCAATGAGATTGCAGCTCTCCCTGGAGCTCCCACTTGGCCCGAAGGTCCTACTATTAGCCTTGAGATTGAGTTTGAATTCGGGAACCGCCAGTTTATCCGAAAGGAGCAGTCAGATTTCGGCTGGGATTGGGGCCCAGCGTTCGCTCCGGCAGGTGTCTGGCAGAAGGCATGGGTTGTACAACTTCAAAAGGAGGAGGTCCACGTTCGCAACTCGATATTCGACCTCTATCGCGAGGGCCAATTGAACCTTCTTCCCCCTGACCAGAATGCCAATTGGGTCTTGAACGCCAGTATTGATGTAATCGGCACCGTGCCCGAGGGGGCGACCATGAACTACAAGATCTTCGACCTTGCTACTCAAAAGGAGGTTAGCAGCGGAGATCTGACAGGCGTGGAGAATCATGGAGATGTGATTACTGGCAATGTTATTCTGGACGCCAAGGACTACAAGTTATGGTGGCCGAACGGACTAGGAACTCAGAACCTTTACAATATTACCGTCGATGTAGTATCTGAGTCGGGCAAGGTTTTGGTCTCGGTAGTGAAGCGCTCCGGATTCAGAACGATCGTTATGAACATGGGTGAAGTCACGGACGAGGAGATAGCCCAAGGAGTGGCCCCAGGTACCCACTGGCATTTCGAGGTCAATGGCCAAACATTCTACGCCAAGGGTAGCAACTTTATCCCGCCAGATACTTTTTGGCCCCGAGTAACTCCAGAGAAGATCCGGACAATTTTTAATGCGGTGGTCGCTGGAAACATGAACATGCTTCGTGTCTGGGCGGGCGGCGCATATCTACCTGATTTCATATACGACCTTGCAGACGAGATGGGCATTTTCCTGTGGTCTGAGTTCCAGTATGGCGATGCTCTTTACCCTGTTGACCCAGATTTCCTTGAGAACGCTCGCGTGGAAGCCGTGTACAATGTCCGTCGTATTAACCACCACCCTTCGCTAGCTCTCTGGGCCGGCAATAACGAGATCATGCTCTTGATGATTCTAATTCTCCAGATTATTGCACCAGATGAGCTTGATCACTACACACACGACTTTGAGATGTTATTCTTAGACACGTTGGTCCCCGCTGTCTTTGGAAACACCCGTAGTATTAGCTATATGTCGAGTAGCGTGAATACCGGATATTTGTCTCTCAATCACAGCAACCCGAGGCCGATTATTGAGCGATATCTGAACGCTACGCCCGGAGAGATCTATGGAAATACTGACTACTATAACTATGATATCTGGCAGGGATTTAACGCATCGAGTTATCCGGTTGGTCGATTCGCAGCTGAATTCGGGTTCACCAGTATGCCTAGCATTAACTCGTGGAAGAATGCCGTAGATGAAGAGGATCTTTGGTACAACAGCTCGACCGTCGTGCTCCGGAACCACCACCAACCTCCCCGTGGGCTTAACACTAGTGATTTCGAGAGGGCGAGCGAAGGGATGATCCAAATGACCAACAGTGTAGAGACATACTATCCCACGCCAATGAAGACGGATCCCATTGCCAATTTCTCCGCCTGGTGTCACTCGACGCAGATCTACCAGGCCGACTTCTACAAGAGCCAGATTGAATTCTACCGTATTGGCTCGGGAAGACCCGAGCGCCAGCTCGGAAGCTTGTACTGGCAGCTTCAGGATATCTGGCAGGCACCGACATGGTCGAGCATTGAGTACGAGGGCCGATGGAAGATCCTGCACAACACCGCCAAGGATATCTACCAATCTGTCATCGTCGCGAACCTCTGGAACGTAACTACCGGAATCCTCGAAGTTTACGCAGTGAGCGACCTCTGGGAAGAGACGAAGGGCAAGGCAAGTCTTAGCTGGGTTGGTTGGGATGGCAGCGTTCTCGATGTTGATACAGCTGATATCAAGGCGGGAGACGTGGACTTCACTATCGGACCGCTCAACACTACGTTGCTCGCACGAGTAGACATGAACAAGTTGAAATCGGACTTGTCGTTCGATGCGAGCAAGGCCGTGCTGGTGGCCAACTTAACGGCTACCGGAACCCCGCCGAACAGCGAGGCGACGAAGACTTTCACACACACCAACTACTACACGCCTACGCCGTTAGCTTCAGCTGCTCTAGTTGATCCTGGCGTAAGCGTCGAGTATGACAGCAACGCCAAAGAATTCGTGGTCCGAGCCGACAAGGGAACTAGCATCTGGACTTGGGTCAGCGTGGGAGACAAGGATGCCGACGATGTCATCGTCGCTTTCGACCACAACGGATTCCTGCTCAGGAAGGGTGAGGAAAAGCGCATTGGATACAGCGTCATTAGCGATAACGGGCAGAAGGCAGGGTGGGAGAGCAGAGTTAGTGTTGGTAGTATTTGGGATAATACCTTGCCGTAAAGGGTAGTGGGAAATAGGGGTAGGAAATAAAGTGACAGAAAGTAGGTGATATTCTGACTCTTTTAATGATATAGTAGCTATTGATTATATCTTTATATATAAACATAATCTACATTATATTTAATGCTCTCGTCGTGTTTTATGGGGTATCTAAAGTACCCTATTCGTGATGATTCGTCGTTAATACACTCTCATATAACCCACAGCGGCCATTTTATAACTAGTACCTAATTGAATGGAGTGAAAGTTGGCCTTGCATAACAACCCTCATACACTCGGGCACTCGGGCACTCTGGCATATGTACCCCTCAAAGTTACATGCTTAGGTTACGTTTTTCTGTAGATTTCCAATCTTCTAAATATAAATATTGTAAGGTTATGAGCGCCTCTACGCCAACCTGAATTGTTCCTCACGTAATTTAGCATTATCCGCCAATACAATACATGGAGTCGTCTTTCGATAACCGCAACCGCGTTTGAGACCATTTTTGATCTACTAAAGCCGCATTCCTATTTTGTCGACTTCATTAGGACGTTTGGGTACCGAGAAGATGACCATTGTCGGGAGGTCTCTGGATACCGCTGGCGCCGTGGTGGGGCATCAACGGCCGATGGTACAGACACCCCTGAACAACTACGATCTACGTACCATTTTTCTTTGCTGACTACTAGGAAGAATTCTGTTATATTGTTAGATTTTTCCAGCAGAATGGCCGAGCCCAGGGCCGTACTTGGTCGCCTAGACATACGGGGATCTATCAAAAAACAAAGCCTATCACTCGAAAGTAGGGACAGAGGCCAAAGTAGATTTTTCGGTGAGCTTCTTCGATTGTCAACGCTTGGAGCGCTACCGCCAGGATATCATAACAGCCAAGGGGGTATTGGATTCCAATATTGGCATAGCGCATGGATGTCAAAATCGTTGTAGACATGTCGTTGTGCTATCCAATATATCCTTGGAACTTACACCCTTGCGTGAATTGGAGGCTCTTGAGGAGGAGCTTGTCGGCTATAGGCGGACTCTAGAGGCAATTCTTTATCGCTCAGAAGGGGTGCTTCGACTTGTAAGATGTCTTCTCTGGAATTATATGACTGATAAGGAACCACTAACGGTACAGCAGCTTGGGAAAATTCTGGATTTCCGTCACGATGAAACCATGCGCATTCAAACACAGCTGTTAACCCAGTTGTCGAGGGAGCAGGCAAGCTCAAACGACCAGATTGCTCAAGTCCTAAGGCAATCCGCAAATGATTCCAGGCTGCTTAAGGCATTGACCATCATGACAACTCTTTACCTACCTACGAGTATTGTGCTGGTAGGTTCCCACACCAGAATAGCTAAGAAACATGTACAGAGACTAATCTTACAGGCTTTCTTCGGCTCCAATTTTATCCAGACTCGAGAGATAGATACCCCCGGCAAAGCTCTTAGTATAGTGCTTGTACAAGAAGCTTGGCTAGCTATAGCGATCCCGGCACCGTTTACAATAGCAACTGTAGTCATGATTTTTTGGATGGGAGGGTTGCCGCGTTTCAACGTAAAACTGCCATGGTCCTAGGCTAGGGATGTAAAAACTATGAGTGAGGATGTTATATCATAAGAGGTACCTACCTGGTAGTCAAATTGAATAGGTCCAAGGGAATGGTTTTTGACATGACTATATGCTTTCCTAGATTTCAAGCTCGGGCTTTCTTAGTTTAGAGTATGGATTACTTGTTTATGTTGTATAGAATTTGTATTCCTATCAATATAATGTGTTCCCAGCTACAGAGACGTAAAAAGGGGGTTATGGTGGCTTACACGCCAGTCAGCAGCTGTTATAAATGTTAACGGCCCGGCAAGAAAATACACCCAGTCGACATTTACGGGCCTTCAAATCTACCTTTAGGTAAGTTCACCGACAACTCTATCATCAGACTTATAAATCCGCTATTTACTCCAAAAGCTACGGCGCTTTTTAGCTTCCAAGGCTATAGCTATGCGCCATGTTGTTCAGAACCAAATTGAGCCCGAGCGCGTGGCCGCCATCATGTTGTCATGGCACTCTCTTGAATTAGTCTCGTGTAGGAAAATGCAAACATTATGGGCAGGGTACGGGTACATCTACGAGGTCAAAGCTCGAGCTACTAGTGATGAAGCCACAGCCGAACTCAGAAGGAAATGCGGTCCTAATATTCCTAATACCAAGAAGAACGAAGAATTATTTCCTCTAATCCTCAAATACATCGCGCCTCCGCAGAAAAATCTGGATTTCAAAGATGAAGGTCATTTACGCAAGCTAATGAGCTATGGAGTTGAGCAATACTTTTACAGCTCCGTCGCCCCGTTACTGGAGGAGGATATCGGCGTGGCTCACTGTGTTGCTACGACACTGGAGTCTCATGGGAAACCCGGTGCTGAGATGCTCCAAGGTCTAACAGCAACAAGTACGCAATACACTTTTACTCATCTACAGCTTTCTATGAGTTGTCCCCACCACACGACCCGTCAAATGAGCTTCTATATGTGCCTTGAAATTCCTAAATATAAATGAAAGTTAACTCATTCTTCTTATAGTCATGTCTGACCTAAGACCTAAATTTCCTATTGCTGGAGAGAAAAGGTCAGAACTCGATGAGAAACAGGTCTATGCTGCACTAGATTGGCTCTCTAGTTTCCACGGAGCCAGTCGGAAATTATTGCCTGCAAATCTGCAAGAATACTTGTGCCCCCCTCTTGAAGAAGCCGAGAGACGACGGAATGGAGATGACTCTGGGAAGAAGTTGTGGCTTAATGGAGGGTATACATATCTCGCCACTCGCCGTGCCGAGTATGCTGCCCTTGCTGAAGACGAGAACTCGGAGTGGTCTACGCTCTGCACGCCAGTCACTCCGGGCGGGCAGTCCATCTCCGAGATGGTGGCTACCTTTTTAACTCCACGTGGCCGCGAGTATGAAACTATCATCCATGGGGACGTTAAATCCGAGAATTTGTTTACAACTGAGCCCGGTCATAGGGTTGCATTTTTCGATTTTCAATATGTCGGTCTCGGGTTAGGTGCCTGTGATCTCGCTAAATTATTTACTTGTTCAGTTCCGTTAGAAATACTTATAGACGAACAAAGTAATATCCCCAATGAGCTCCCGATGGGTAAGGGCGAGGAAACACTCCTTGCTTATTATCATTCGAAATTAACCAATGACTTCAAAGACGCTGAAGGGCGAACGCAGGAATACGACTGGAGTCTATTCGTTCGGCATTGGGAGATTGCGCTAGTTGACTGGTTGAGATTTCAGGCTTCCTGGGGGTTCTGGGGCAACACGGAATGGCTCGAGGCCAGAGTTCGATTTATTCTGCAGGATCAACAGTGGAGAGGTTGGCTTCAAGAGAACCTAGACTTGGGACCTGAGATGAGATAATCATGGAGGCTGAATTAGACTGTTTCCGAGTAGATTGAATGAATATAATAATGCGCTGTCTGTTATTTTCGTAAACTAATATTAGTGTTCAAGTTGGAGGCTCCCGGACGGGACGCTGCGTTGGGAGCAGCTATTTCATATTTAGCCGAGAAGATATATGCGTGAGCGGCTTGACCCAGAACGTCGCGGCGTTTTGACTTTACATGTTTCAATATCAACGGCCTTACACACGTCACGATTGCCACCTGGGTCCCTATTCCCCAACTTCTCCGCAGGGGTAATGCTACCTACTGATTAACCGAACGATCCGCTTTCCTGATTCGGATCGAGGCAGGCCACGATGAATTTACCAACAAGTAGATTAGCCTAAGGGATGAACACGCAAAGGAGACATCCGGGGAAATGGCAATGGTCACATGAGACTCGTACAAGACAGACCCAGGTAGGATGAACGGAATCAAAATGTTTATTTACCTCGAGGATCGCCCACCGGTTGTTAAGTGATCCTTTGAGGGAAACTACTGGGACATCTAAGTTAATATCGGCTCTTGTGAAAAAAAAGCAATATGAAGGCCTTTTCTACACTCGCAACTTTAGTTGCGCTTGGCAGTTGCCAATCCCTCACCCAGGTCAGCGACTTCAGCGGTACTCCCACGAAGCTAGGCATGTACTCGTATGTGCCCAGTAACCTCAAGACCCCAGCGCCCATTGTCGTAGCTGTACACCATTGCCAAGGTTCAGCTCAGGGATACTTCTCTGAGTCCCAATACGCGCCATTGGCCAACCAGTACGGCTTCATCTTGATCTACCCCAACTCTAGGTCCAGTGGTGGCTGCTTCGATGTCGCTTCCGACGCTAGTATGACTCCCTTTCTTTTCTTACTATACTACCAATCTATCGCTATGGTAAGAAAGTTCCTAACAGAGTTCATATAGCCTTGAAGCACGATGGCGGTGGTGACAGCCAAACCATTGCCAACATGGTCAAATACGCCGTACAGAAATACGGCGGAGACGCAAACAGGACATATGTCACTGGAACTAGCTCCGGTGCCATGATGACCAACGTCCTTCTCGGAGCCTACCCCGACGTTTTCAAGGCAGGATCCATCTACTCCGGTGTTCCAGACGGATGCTTCGCCGTCCCCGGCTCTACTGCCACTCAGGACCCCCCGGGATGGAACAACCAGTGCGCCAACGGACAAACCACCAAGACTGCTGCTCAGTGGGGTGACCTCGTGCGATCTTACTACCCAGGATATACCGGCCCTCGTCCCCGAGTCCTAGTGTAAGAAGAACCCTTACCGTCAGAATACGACTTTGGACTACTTGAGCTAACCAATATTCTGCAGCTGGCACGGCACCACTGACAGCACCCTGCGATACCCCAACTGTACGTTCTAGCCCTATGAAATGCGTAGTGAACAATGCTAATTTCATAAACAGACCAGGAGACACTTAAGCAGTGGTCCAACGTCTTGGGTCTTACCACTTCCAAGGACACCGCCAACACTCCCCAGAGCGGATACACCCAGACCATCTACGGCGATGGCACCGCCACGACAGCGAAGCTTGTTGGATACAGCGCCCAGGGCGTTGGCCACACTGTGCCTGTTCACCAGAAGGACGATCTCGCATTCTTCGGCCTTGCGTAAAGGCAGGAAAAGGGTCACCAATTGACTAGGGCGAAAAGTTACTTGGCTTTTCCAGTTTGTAAATAGCGAAAGCTCGGTTATCTAGCCGATCAAAAATTGTTCTTTTCGCAGTACTATATTGAGGCTAGCTACTCAGACGTATATATAAGTTTATTTTGCCTCGTAACTCTTTATTCAAAGCTCAACTATCACGCAGTGTTCAAAATGTTAAACCACGCTAGGCATTGAACTCGAAAAGCTTAGAGGATCTAGCGGGTAACTAAGGTCGGAATCAAGGCAATTAGCCAATTTCGATATTATAGAACGACGATATGCGTATAAGGTAAACGCCACGTAGCAGCGATGGCAACTCTCTGCTATGAAACCCTGAAATACATTGCGCCGGGGTAACTGGAAACCCTACTGAAGACTTCAGTCTATTTTAAGAACTGAAGCTCAAACAGCAGCGCCTATCTCCTGTGGGTTCCCCGTGGGGTCAGGGCAACTAGGAACGTCCCGGAAGCTTAATATTAGATACTTCTCATTTAGGCTATTAAAGCTCTTTGAAGCCTAATGCGAAATATCTCTAAGTAGTCTATGATTCTATTTATATTACTCCGTCCCTACTATAGTAAGGCCGATGACCGTTGAAGAGAAAACGTTTCGACCAGTCTTGCTCCTCGAGCACATTCAGTCCATTAGTCGGACTAGGAGGTTGCGAAAGATATGATCTAACCGCATTCCAAAACTTTCCGCTATCCACCAAGGTTATACTTCACCCTCCATAGGCAAAATATTGAGCCTACCTATCCTCTAGAATACTTTTAATCTTAAGGAATTGTTGGGAAAGTCGAGATTCAAACAAATCGACTCAAACTCACGGATATTTCCGAACTTAAAACATCAATCAAGAACGAATATCTATAACATGGTCTTATAATGATGGTTTCAAGTTACACAGATCTGAGATCGACAAATCCTACAATGCCTATTCGTAGTAAAAGCACTTCGACTACCGAATTGAGATGGGCCTGGGTTGACAGGGAAGATGCCTTGGCACAGCAACCTTAAAGAACTACACTACCTTAGCTATACCACATAGCCAATGACGGTTGAATACAAGCTGCCGATATAGAATGTCATTGGGGTAGATCATTAATATCTGAAGCTTGGCTGTGGGGTTTACCCTAGGTAGATCAGGCGCAATCCATGACACCATGTGGAAATAGGAGGCATTGGGGTGTCCCGTATGCATTTCCCGAACAGGCGCTTTGTTTAGTATATGAGGTATATGAGGTAACACTCGCGTCTATTCCACTTTAGCTTGTCAGGCAAATGTGCGCTTAGAAGATGAAGTAGAGGGGAATAGCTTTACTGGGTCTCGGGATATACCATGTAACATCCCTAGTGGTGACTGGGAGGAGAACTTCACCATCATCATCGATATCTAGCGTGTAGGAGATATCAACTCTTCCAGGTTAATACCTAGATGCCACTTAAGTTGGATTTTATTATCTTAGACAATAAAAAAACAAAATGCCCTTCCCGTATAAGAACGTCCTCTTAATCGGCGCCACAGCCGGAATCGGGCTGGCGCTGGCGGAGCGCATGATTGAGAATGGCATATTCGTTATTGGCGTCGGTCGCCGGAAGGAAAGACTCGACGCGTTCGTAGCTAAGTACGGGTCTGACAAGGCCGCAGCGTCGCAATTCGACATCACCGAGTTTGACAAGATCGAGGCGTGGGCCAAAGGGTAAGTAACCTACCGATCCAAGACTAGGTCCACGTTGATCCCGGCTCGCTGACCGATGCGCATAGCATCACCGAGAAGTACCCCGACATCGACGCCGTGATCCTCAACTCGGGCATCCAGCGTACGCTGGACTTCTCCAAGCCCAAGGAGATTGACCTGCCCCGGACGATGCAGGAGCTAGGCACAAACTACACTTCGTATCTGTATTTAATCACATACCTGCTACCGCACCTACAGTCGCGCGTGCCGAACCCCGCGGCTCTAATCGCCGTGACCTCCGGGCTAGCACTAGTCCCGCTACCGCGGTGCGGCAACTACTGCGCGACCAAAGCAGCGCTCCACTCGCTGCTATGGTCCATCCGCGCGCAGCTCTCCCACGACGAGGGCAGCCAGCACATCCGGGTCGTCGAGATTTTGCCGCCGGCCGTGAAGACCGAGTTGCACTCGCAGCAGGCGGAGCTTGTCGAGATCGGACAGGGCGACATCGGTATCCCCGTTGAGCAGTTCACGGATGAGGCGTGGGCGGGCTTGGTTAGGGGGGACGAGGAGATCCCCGTGGGCCATGTTAAGGAGCGCTTTGAGATTCTTGAGGGCCCGAAGAGAGTCCCGTTCCAGAAGATTGTAGAGACGTTTATGGGGAAGAAGTGACAACTAAAGGAGAGGCTGTGAGCCTAGTTTGTATCAAGGAAGAGATAGAAGGTTTGGGGTAGAGATGTCGGCTTTATGTTGTCGAGGTACTATCTTCCCGTATCTTGACTTAGATATAATAGCCCCTTTGCAATAAAATCGGCAAAGGCCATGAGTTGGAAATAAATATTTAGTTTAGTAGATGATGTAGAATACTTCTTAAGCTGTTATTATAATTGTCAATCTTCTAGGTTAGTCCACATAAAATAATAGTTCTACACTCATAAAGGGGGTACGTACTTGTCAAATAATTCAAGACTGAAGGGCAACTATCACGGGAACAACTACAAATCCTACGGTTAGCACGGGAAGGCAGATGCACATTGTTAGTGGTGATAGGAATTATGTATATTGAGGAAACCCCCGAAGCGGGATTTTGTGGGAGCTCTATCAAAGACTCTAGTAGCCGAAGATCATGATGATACCCCTTAACTACCAGTCCATGATGAATAAAGCTATAAATCCAGCAGTGCCAACGATTAAGATGTATATAGCACCTTTAATTGCTTTGACGACTCTCTTGCCGAAACTCTTGTTTGTCTTTTTGGTATCCATAATTGCTATGGTAAGAAAAATCTTCAGGTCAAGTCCTCGGTTCCATACCTGGGTATTTATATTCTTCCTAGGGGGCAGCTGCTACGTACGTACGTACGAAAGGGAAGAAAAGCCTTTGACCCTTATTCCTTGAGCGTGACTAGGAGAGTATGCTACTCGGTAACAAAGATCATCTAGTTAACACCTTATTCGCTCATAGGTCCTGATTGTTGTAATAAATTTAGAGCGCTAGTCTCCTTAGTTCAATGACAGCAAACAAAGATGTTTGCAAGTTCAACACATCACCGCCAATGAGAAACATGACCTGTTGAAAGTGATGGTTCAGGCTGATTAGATACATAGTAGTTGTTACCAACGCCTTCTACATAATAGGCATAGGTGGAATAGTAGTGATTAACTACATAGTAAGGAAAACTCATAAGTCCTAGACTAATTCCTTCGAGTCCATGGTAGTGGAGATTTCATGCAAGATTGAATAAGATCCTCCGCTATGTATGTGACGGATCAAACAACTGCACGAAATATTGAATCGAGCTAATCATAACTTGGCATCTCATGTGCTTTTGATTCTCGAGTGACACTATGACAGGAAAGGAGAGCTCTTCCACCTTACTGTGGAGACCATATCGAAGTCCCCGCGGTCGTCGTATTACCATCCAATGAGACGCTATACGACAGGAGTAAGACAAGCCAAGGGTATTGCATTTTTCTTCTACCAAGAAGCTGGCCGTAACAATTTAGTACGCAGAGCCGCAGATGTGTACCTAGGTAGTTATAATAGGATTCGTGATATGTGCATTATTTCCCAACTTCCTTCCTGCTCCCCTATCACCCAGATATGAGATATCGCCCATGCGCCAGACTCCATGTCCCAAAACAAAAGGTACAATCATCCTATGCACCCCTCTTAAGCCTTCCACTCGTCTCGTCCGAGCTTGAGGATATCAGATGACTCCAGAATCCAATATTTGCTCGGCGCCTTGCCCTCGGCGGCCAGTACGGAAGCGCGAACAGCAGCACGTCCGATGACCTCCGCATCCTGACCCCAGAAGTCTTGCGCGCCTTGAGTGATCTTTCCTAAGCCGCGAACGACGGTGTTGAGTAATGGTCCACCCGTGTGCTCGACCTCGCGCTGCCCGAGAATTAGGCCCGGTCGTAGGATGATCGCTTGGTCGAATGCGAGAGACTTGATCGAGTCCTCGACGCCGACTTTCATCTTGGAGTAGGGAGCGGAGCCGCCAAGGAAACCGCGCGTACCGGCTGACGAGATGAAGATGAACGTTTTGACTCCGGCGGAGTGCGCGGCTTTGGCGAGCTCGATGTTAACTGCGCAGTTGGCAACTTTTATTAGTCCCGCTTGCTATAATCAAATTGCGCAGAAGGGAATGAGAAGTTCCAACGTACGATCATGGTCTATTTTCCATTGGTTTGCAATGCCGCCAGCTTGAGCTCTGGTCGTTCCCAAGGCGGAGAAAACTACAGACGGCGGGGGCGCAATGGACGAAATATTGGATGCCCATTTGGTAGTGTCGGCCTCAACGGCGGCGACTAATTTGGGCGACTCTGCTTTCGGGTGTCGTCGAGAGACGGTATAAACGGACTTGAAGGCATCAAGGCTGAGGAGAGTGGTTAATATGTGAGAGCCTACAAGGCCTGTGCTACCGATAACTGCAGCTGTCGACGTCATGATCGCTCGAAGGATTGAAGATGTTGGTTTGTGGTAAATGATGTTGGAAGAGACGTGCGCCAGTGGCTTTAATAAGGGAACGCAGCCCACTACCTAGGTACCTACCCGATATAGGTATCAGGTGCTGCTACTTCGGAGTATTTTGGAAGGCAATTCGGGGGAATAGTCCTACCGCGATTCAATTACTCATCAAGTAGGTACATACTAACGTCGTACAAGAAAGCTACTACAGTGACGCCATTTGATAATAGCGCGGGCAGTTCTAGGGCAAAGGGAAGGTACAATACTATTACATGCAGCTACTGACGGTATGTACTATTTTAGGCGGGTTCACTATTCCTGCCGAGGCTTCAGCTCTGACTACGACACCGTGACTGCGACACCGTGACTGCCTAAGACATCTTCTAACATAAGACTTACGAAGTGCTTAACCTAATGCTTACACTAAATATTTACATCTACCTGCTATAAACACGATTGGTCAATCAAGGTATTGCTCGTGGATTTTAGGTAGTTACGAATTGATGCTATTATATAGTCGGGTAAATATACCTCCTTTTTGCCACCCAGTCTCACGCTTTCCATGTTGTTATATACATAGCGCCGGTGTCTCGTATTGTACATAAGCCCGCCTACTGCTTAATGGCGTACCTAGGAGGTAATGGGCCGACTCGGCGTGGCTTGGGGTCGACGGCTAGATCTTATCTTCAGGAATAAGAATTCTCGATTATCCTTTCATTGGTGTGGCGTTTATTAGTAGGTATACGAATATTGTCTGCGCAACTCTGCCCTTTAAGTCTCTTAACCTCTTCAAGAATTTCTTGATCGGTTCGGAGCTTCTCGGCGGGTGACCGAGTCAAGACACCATCCACTGCCTTGGCCTGGCTGTTCCGAATATGTAGGCTGCTAGAATACCATGATGGCCTCATTATCTAGATCGACTGGTTTCCTATCACCCCGCCTAGTCTCCTATAGAAGAGAAGAGAAGATCAACCGCATCTCCATTAGAGCCGGGCGATAATAGCCTGTGTCGAGCTGGGTGAAATACATCTCGAATAAGGAAAAAAGTTTTTCTCTTACATTATTGCACATTGAGATGAAATCTCATTCTCATATTCTGTGCACTCATATCAGTGAAATTATGGGGATATTTGCCATAACCTTTGGACGGGGTCTTGAGGGTCCAAGCTATCATGATCCCTTGTTTCCAATTGGTCAGGATCCTTGGCAAGGCGAGGGCACAACTCTCTATGATACTTATCAACTTTCAACATGAGCATTTATCATTCAGTTTATTCTCTCATATAAGTGGCCTTAAACGTCTTTCACTTTCATATTGTATTAATTTTTCTACAGATTACGATGTATTACGATGTATTACAGTTTGTATTCTGATAGAATCGCAACGACAATTAATACTATAGTTATATGGGTAAGTAAAACCCTTATCATAAATATCGCGCTAATCATATAATATATTCAATGCCTGTTATGGTTTAGTGTAAATTTATATAGGGTTATTATCAAGGTTTAAAAAATCATCATTTTTAAAAAATTTAAAAGATTTAAAGTTATTTAAAGATTAAATTTAATGTTATATATAGTTATTATTAACGTCGTATATATTTTAACATTATTATAACATATTAAATATTAATTTAAATAACCACGATTTAAATATAATTTTTTAAGTTTTTATAATATACTTATGTAACTTATTATATAATAGCTTTTTGTTTAAGTTATATTTATTTTTAATATAATTTTTTATTTAATTTTATATAGTTTTTATTAGATTTAAATTCGGTAAATACAATGGTTAATTAAATATTTTAATATTATGTTTTTTTATATCCTCGATTATAACCGCGGTTTTATAAGTTAAAGCGTTATTTTATATAAAAATAAACTTTTTACTATCGTTTTGATAACATTAACGTATTTAACTATTAATAATAAATATTATATAAATTTAATAAGTTTTTATAATTATTATACCTTAATTTTTTTCTAAAATATATTAAGCCTTTTATTTGTAACACCCGAAAAAAACCTTTAAAATATTTAACCTTTTTTTATTAATGTTTTTTAATTATATAAGTATCGTTTTAAACCTTGTTATTGAACTGGTGCTGGTGTATCAGGTGACCTTAATCCTGATCATATAATCATATTCTTAGTATAAATACTATTTATAGTCGCATACACCTATTTTACATAATATCATTTATTTTTAATACAAATCATTTCTTTTTATTATTAGTCATCATCTAAAAGTCCTTAATACCAGGTTTAATAGGGTTTGATCTAAGGCTAAGACATTTAAATCTTATTCAATAGCAACCCCTAGCAATTTAAACCCGTAACACCAGTCTTAGAAGGACTGTTATTATTGTCGAAAATGCCTTATCGTAGCTTGATTGGGTAGCCTCCCATAGTTAATAAAGTTTACAATCCCATAGTCCACAAGGCCTACGATATATCAATCAATAGCCAAATTCATAATAGCTTCATTGATACCCTTAGTTAATAACCTAAATATAAGCTAGATAACTTGATCAAACAATTCAAACCTTATATCAATCATATCAACCTATTCAAAGATATTTACCTATTAGTCAATTCAGTTATGTCTTGATATATCAGTTAATATATACGATATAGCCTTATCGAGAGCCTTATCTACAGCCTCATCGACAACCTCAGCAATCACGTTACTTATTGATCAAATCAATACGATCCCCGAGATACCAATATTCTTATACCTTAAGTTAAGATATACAAGATACGATACAATTCAGGAAACATTATTATATTAGGATTCAATTATCAATTTCAGGATACGTGAGGGCCATAACACATCTTAGCTAATCAAATATTAGGAAATAAAAGGTGGCCTTATTAAATGCGTAAAAGGATTACGGGGATAAGGTTAGCGAAAATATTAACAATTACCACGTTTAAAATTATATTTTAAATTATTTAAAAATAATATATAATATTTTTTAAATTATATTATATCTAATATATAAAATAATTAATTATAAAAAATTAATAATAAAAAAAGTAAAGGTTAAACCAACCAATTAATTAATAAGTTATTAAATCTATTATAAAAAAAGTAAGAATCTAATTAATATTAAAACTTATTTAAGTTAATATTAAGATATTAAGGGAGGTAAATAACTTAATTACGAAGATTATTTATAAAGGTTATATAATATTAGGATAAAAAAGGGAATAAAATTAGCTAAATTTATTACAAGGGAAGTAAAACCGTATAATAATCTTTTTATACAATCTTTATACCACAATCTTTATATATATTCAATTTAACAGTAAGTATTATAATCAGATTTGTTATTATACAATTCTATATAGTTAAAGGATATAATTTAATAATATAGGATATCTGATTAATAAATCCTAATTAAATTAATTAAATTATACAGCATATAAATTTATTTAAGATACGATTTAAGACCTGATAATACCTAGGATATTGAACTGATATGGTGCCATATTGTTAAGAACAAGGGTATTATTATGTAATCTTAAGTTACAGACCATATAAAGGTTTAATATTTATTATATTCTTTTGATTAAATAGTTATAATTATTACCATTTAATTATACATTTAATATAAATATATTTATTATTTTCTTATATTTATAACTTATAATCTTATTTTATATATTTATCTTATATATTTTATTTGATTAATAAATTTTTATAATTTTTTTAAAGTATAATATTATTATTAGTTGTTTAAGGTTTTTTACAAAAATTTAAACATTAAAATAATATGTTATACTTTATAAAAGATATTAATTCTTATTTAATAGTAACTACTACAAAATTTGAATTTGTAATTTTAATTTTAAAAGAATTGTTAAATATTAATTAGTAAAAATGGCTTTAAAAGCCAAGAAATTGACTTCGAATATTTATTAAAAAAATTTATAAAAAAATGAGGGGATTATAAAAATCCCGAAAATTATTAGATATTTAGGATAAACTGTTATTAAATTGTTATAAAAACCCTTTTACAAATTAATATTACTTAATTAAAAATATTTTTATTAATATAAAATAATTATAACTAAAATATATTAAAAGAATATTAAAAGTAATTATATAGTATAAAACCATTTACGAATTAAATAATTAAAAATAGTAATTAATATTATAAAATTTATAAATTAAAAAATATTAGGATATATAATTAAAAATAATATATAATTATAATAAAGTTGTTATTAAAGGATATAAAACTAATATTTTTAAGGATTATAGTTAAAATATGATTAAATATTGGTAAAAAAAGGATATAAATTAAAATATAACACCATAATTATATTATTAAAATGAATAATTTATAATTGATAAGTAATAGGATTTAGTACTAAGAAATTTATTTACTTATTACCTTAAATACATAAAAGAATTTATTAATTAAAATATTAAAATGGAATGGATAAAATATTATTAAAGTTATTGTGGTAACCTTGTTATTGCTTATCTTAATATATTTTTAAAAGGTACGAATAAAGGTTAAATTGGTGATTACCTACTTATAAACTAAATTTCACGCCAGAAAAAAGACGTTATGCGATAGTTAAAAAGTCGATCAGCCTTTAATAAATAAAGATAAATATTATTTTTACTTTTGTATTGAAAATAGGGGGTAAAATTACTAACGCGAATTATTAGTAAGTCAAATATTCTTTATATCTTTATTATAACAAAATATTAATTAACCTTTTAAAAATATCTTTAATTAACTTTAAACTAATAATATTAGTTTAAAAAATTAACTAATATAGTAAGGAATAATATCTAGATTAGAAATATAACCAAACTTATTATCCCTTAAAAATATTACTTTACCATTTATTAATACATTTTGAGTACTATTAGCTACCGGTTTTATTTATACTGATTAGTTAAAATTTAAAATATATAAGGATATTTCAATTATATTATTTAATAATAAAAGTAATTAAAACAATAAATTCTTAAAATAATCCTTAAACCTTAAATAAATATAATTAATAACACTTATTAATTAGTTATGATAAGTTATTGTTTAAAATTTTAATAAAAGAATATCTAATTAATGTAGAAGATTAATTAATACTTAACCGATTATACATTAAGATTTTATTAAGAATATATTTATTATATTAGCTATTATTTTAATTTTAGTAATTTTGTTAGTAATATAAGTATTAGTTTTTAATTAAAAATTGCTAATTTATTTATATTAAATTATTTTATTAAATTTGTAAAATTATAAGGATAAGTTATTCGATAGAATAAATATTATTTAATGGTTAAAAGATGTTAATAAGATTTTTTATCGATATAGAATAGTTAATTATAACCAGATTAAAGAAATCTTAATATAGATTGTTAATAGTAATATGCGTAAGAAGGTTAATATAACTATTGATAGTACGATTATTTAGGACGAAGTTTAAATTTTATTAAAAAGAAAATTTATTATATGTAATTTATATTAATATAAATTATATAAGTTAAAGTTAAGAAATCTTAAAAATAGAAATGTTTTTAATAATCCTATCAAATTTATGGACTTGATTAGGAATTATGTAACTTTTTTTTAAAATATTAAATCGAATATAATATAGAACATTAATCCTAACGATTATGTTAATATTATTTTGGAACAAATTAATAATAATATCTTAAAAAATATTATTTATTATACCCACTTTTTTTTTATAAATATTTAAATTGTATTATTTAATACGATTAAAAATATAATATATAATTGGGTTAATAAAAAAGTTAAATTGTTAAATTGCTACCATAATAGTAAAAAAGTTAAATTTTAAACTTTTGATAATATTAAAAATATTTTTTAATAATTTATTAATTGTTTACAAAAGAATAGCGTTAGTAACTAACCTCGATTTAGGATCTTTATAAAAGATAATAAGTTATAAGATTTATTAATTATAAAGAGCCTAATAAAATATTTTAATATTATATAAATTAATATACAAAAAGTTATAATGGAGTAGATTAAATAGGAATTAGCGATTATTAGAAGTATACCAGGAATATTGTTTTATATGATAATATATAATGAATGTATAGCGTATTTTAATTAACCTATCGAAATTAATTAGATTTAAGCCTATAGATAGCCTTAATTTTTTAATTATCGCATAAGAAGTTATAATTAAGTTAAATTTCTCCTTTTATATGTAGTTAATTATTTGTTTAATATATATTAGTTTTATGGTATTTAAAGAAATATATATATACGTTATACGGTATTTTTATATTTAATAATATATAATATAGCTATAGACGGGTTTTT